CTATTTTCCTGTTATAATGGAGAAAATTTTCAAGTTCTGAACAAGTTGTTTTCGGGTTTTAATTACAAGCAGTGAAAATTGTAAAATTTTACAGTTTCATTTTTTTTTTTGTGCTGAAATGAATCATTTTTAGAACTGTAAAATTTTACAATTTCATAACTTTTCTTTAGGACTGTAAAATTTTGCTATTTCATAACATGTTTTCAGTTTAATTAATAAGGATAAATACTTAATAGAATCATACTTTGAAACTATAACATTTTACAGTTTCAAAACTTGCGTTTCAGTTTGGTCAATATTGAAAATTATTTGCTTAAACCCTACAAAAATTGAAAATAATATATGTTTCTTTCCATTGTTGTTGTTTGTTGTTCATAGATTTTTTTTCTTCTTTCAGTTTATCAATATTTAGCACATTTTGTTATGTTTTTTCACTTTAATTTCTCATTTTAATCTCTTTCTTTTTTCCCGACAATATTCTAAACATTCTGGTGAGTTTCCAGTGATATTCTTGACGTCTAGTGAACATTGTAAACATTTCGACGACTTCTGGTGACGTTCAGAATATTTCGGCGATGCTCCGACGAATTTTCGATGATATTTCGGCGGATTTTCGGTGATGTTGAACATTCTGACGAGTCTCTGATAATTGTCTGATCGAAGTCCCGTGGTGGTCAAATGTAGCAGCGTCTTTAAATTATTATTTTTTTTAAAGTAAGATTTTTTGGTAACAATTAAAAATATATAAGACTAATTGGTGCAAGCATTTTTTTTTGAAATTAAATAGATTTTAAATTGTTCGTATGGGACTTATCAATAAGTTCCCCATTTAAAAATCTCAATCTAAACCATTTGGCCCACAAACTATTAGATGGAAAAAATGAATAAAAATTGAAAATTTAGAAGAGTACTATGCTATTTGGTTTGAAAATTTTAAATATAATTTTTTTATTTTGTATTTCTGTATTTCTTTATTTTTAATATTTTTTTCATATTTCATTTTTTTACTTTTTATATGTACCTAATATAGTTATTTGAAAAATAAAATATTTATGAATTTTTGTTTTAGATCAAGTGGAACTAAAATGTAAATAATAATAATAATAATAATAATAATAATAATAATAATAATAATAATAATAATAATAATAATATATTTTAAAAAATCAATAAAAAAATATGAAAAATAAAATATTCAAAAACAATAGTTTAAAACTCAAAATCAAACAGAATTACGAGAGGCTTAAAAAAAGAGGTGCCACTATTATACCATCGTTGGCCATCTCTTATCTTCCAATTCCAGCAAATATATTACACCTTCCTCAACAATATTGGCACCTCATGTTTTGTAAGCCTCTCATAACTTTGTTTGGAAGATCATCTATAAATTTGAGTTCGAAAGATCCCTTAAAACCATTAGGAATTCTATTTACACCCAAAAAAAATTTAACTGAATCCAATTTTTTAGTACACTATTAAATTATTTAGGATTATAATTTATTCTCAATACATCTTTTTTTCCTACCCAAATTATCCTTTTGAAGTACACCCAAATAAAATAAATTTAAAAATTCAAATTAGTTTTGAAAATTTTTCTTTTAAACTTAGGATTAGTGACTTGTTTTGTTATTAATCTAATACACATTATTTTTTTTTCCAGATAACTAACGTAACGGATATTAGTCGAAATCAGACAAAATCAAAGCTTGATTTTGATATATATATATAGATATGTACATATACGTTCATTATATTTAACCTAGTTTATATAATAATACGCTAAAAGATTGCGATTTTACACTAATGGCATGATTGGACTGTTAATCCACATAATTGGAACAAACAAAATTCATGATTCAGTAAAATAAGAAACAGAAACACAAATTTAGGGTTGATGTATATAACATGTAAATTTATGTTAAATATAATAGAAATTAAAAATTAAATGTATTGAGATAATTTTTGAGTTCAAATAGAATGGCTTTAAAACCATAACACAATTTTATGGTAAAATTTAAATTTGAGTTTAGGCCAGCTTCTTCAACTCCTATCGGGCCCAAATCAATTCAAACCCACATGCAAAATCAATCTAAAGCATTTGGCCCACATACTATTGGGTCATACATAACTGGGCAATCAGACCCGTAGTTGATGGTCCAGCATCAGTAATTAGGTCAAAAACAAATAAAATTAAATTTTACTTTTCTTATTTTTTATTTTTCATATTTTCATAAATAAAATTAATAAAAATTTCACAAATCCAATGTTTTTTATTTTGTGAAAACATTTTTAAAAATTCAAAAAATAACTTTTTATATTTCCTAAAAAACTGAGTTGTTTTTGACAAAAATAATTATTTCATAAATAATTCTCCTTATAAATTTTTCTCTATTTTTTAAAAAATAAAAACAATCAAGCATTCACCATTGCCCATGCCTCATTAAATGTACAATTATGGTTTTAGTGATTTTGTTTAAAAATCAAGTAATTGAGAAATATTTATATACAGATAGGGTATATGTTATGTGATATTTTTTATTATTGTGATTGATTTTGATAGTAAAATTTATTACATTTATACTGGGTGTTTGAGAAATAATAAAAACATATATATGTGTGATTGACGAAAGGTAATACCGTATGGTATCCTATTGACATACAAAAATTTCTCCAAGTAAAATGTCCTACCAATCTACAAAACAAAAAAAAAGAGTCCCGCCAAAAAAAATGTACACACACAACTCTGTTCCCCTCCCTCACACTCACAACCCAATTTTTATAATTTAAAAAAAAATTACTTTATCCTTTTTGTAAAATATATATTACTTTTATTATAAAATTTTAATTTTTATAAAATTAACACCACTGAAAAAGATATCAATGATACCTTTAAAATGAAACTAACATTAAATATATTTAATATAAAATAATAACTCCATAAAACGTTTTAAAAAATATATATGTTTAAAATACAAAGAAAATTGAAAACAAAATGTGTTTTTTCTTTTCATTTTTTAACCAAACTAGTTTTCAATTTTTTGAATAAAAAAATAAAAAAGAAATTTATGACTAAATCAAACTATGCGACAGTGCAAATGTTATTTTAAATTTGTTTTGTGGATAACTAGTTTTCATTTTTTTGATTTATTTGTAGATTTTAGATAGATTGTTCTATGCTAGACCGAAAAAGTTAAAACATTTCACAAAAAATTGAAAAATAAAATCACTAAAAACAAAAAAAAAAATATGACTTTTTTTATTAGTTACCAAACAATGGGAAAGTGTAATTTAAGCCGTTTTTTCTTTCTTTCTTTTTATAAAAAGAATAAAATTCCAAAGTTCATCTATGACAATGTATTTTATCTAGGAGTAGTTTCATAATCTGAATGACATATTAAGAAGCTTCTTGATCTGAATGACATATTTTATCTAGGAGTAGTTTCATAATCTGAATGACATATCTAGTTACTATCGAATTTTCTTGATTCCCATCCAGATAAGAAGCTTCATAAATTTAGCTATTTTTATAACACATCTCTTTAAAGTGAAAGTGGAATTCATCCTTTGTTTTTTCCTTTTTTTACCGCCAAAACTCTCTCTATCTCCAGGCCCTATTTTTGCCTAGTGCAGCTCGAGATTAGGCTTTCTCTAGCCTTTCTACCTCATGCCTCTCTTATGACCTTTTTTGTAAAAGTGTCAGCCGTGCCCTATTTCTTTTTTGACGATCCCTATGGTCTTTCCTTCTCCTTCCGGACAAGTACGACAGAGCCTTGGCATTTCAAATCTCATTGAATGCCTGTGGTTCTAGGACTCAAATGTGTCTGGAGTCGCCAAGTGAGACATTAGGTTCATGAATTGGAGACCTATCTCCACAGCAAGCTCCTCAATTTAACCTGGTCCATCACGCTTTGGACATCGCCACCAGGATAATTGAGACCCCACAAAGACGGCACTCTAAACCCTGCGGCCAACTCAAGGAAAGCTAAAGCTCATTGAAAATGAAAAAGGTGTTTGCTCAGCTTCAAGCTAGCTAGATCCGAGAATAAAGGGGACAGATAAATATAGTGTTAAATGTTTTATTGTAGCAATGTTGCTCCAATAATAGAATGTAAAATTTTTCAAATTTCCTCACAAAATGTCAAGTCAAAATGTTATATGTGAGTCTCTGGAAGAAAAATATATATACAAAGTTTTTAGCTATAAGTAAACTTTGTGTTATATTTTTCACAATATTTAATATTATAGCAAGCCATATCCCTTGTCAATGGAGTGAAAATTTAAAAGTTTAAAGCAAAATATAGCAATAGTAAACCATATAAGACACCATTCAAGAAGCTCTAAGTTATATATTATGCATTACCACCACTAGAAATTAATACAAGACCTGACTCCAAGCAAAGGTACACATACACACTACAGTTTTTATGCCAAGACCCAACAACAGGAAAGTGAAAAAAACCATGAGTAAGTGTAATTGAAGCTGCCTTTTCTTTCTTTCTTTTATAAAAAGGATAAAATTCCACAATTCATCTATGACGATGTATTTTATCTAGGAGTAGTTTCATAATCTGACATAGTAAGAGCATCTCCATTAGTTGAATAGGTAAAAAGAGCTAGTTATTGCTAAATTTTAACAATGCATGGTGTTAAAATGTTTTATCGCAGCAATGTTGCTCCAATAATAGAATGTAAAAATTTTCAAATTTTCTCACAAAACGTCAAAATGTTATGTAAGTCTTTAGAAGAAAAATATAGATACAAAGATTTTAGCTATAAGTAAACTTTGTGTTATATTTGACACAATATTTACTTATAGATAATATATAGCAAGCCATATCCGTTGTCAATGGAGTGAAAATTTAAAAGTTTAACGCAAAATACAGCAATAGTAAACCATATAAGACACCATTCAGGAAGCTTAAAGTTGTACATTATGCATTACTAGAAATTAAGAATAGACCTAACTCCAAGCAAAGGTGCACATACGCACTACAGTTTTCCTGCCAATACCCAACAAAAGGCAAGCGAAACAAACCACGAGGAAAACACATGGGTCGCTCCACTGCCTGTATTGCCATTATTGCACACATACATATACATATATATATATATATATGTATGTATATTTTTAATTTATTTAATGATTCAACACGTAACTTAAGTTGAAGCACCAGATGTTTCAACCCAAAGAAAACATGATCAACAAGAACTAACATCACCTGACGTGCTCAAGTGAGTCTTTGGTTTGCAAAGCCATAAAGCTTCCCTGCAGATGCCAACCAACAAAATGGGAATTGATATGCAGAACAGCGCCAGAGCTCCATTCGGTATGATTGCATTTAATGAGAGCATATAACAACCAAATAGTGCCAAAATTAAGCTATGAGGCAATGGCTTTAGTGGGAATTCATGCAGGAGGTATGTAATAACACCCATTGATGCAATGAACACCAGGGAATTACACAAGATGATCAAGCTACGCATGATTGAATGTTGTTCATAGCCCTCTTTGGAAGTGCTGCCAAGGAAGTGAAAAGGTACTCGGAAGGTTGTTGCTGCGGTCAGTGCGGCTATCAGTAGCAAACCAGTTCTGAATCGAACAGAGGGCTCAACAATGCTTCTATTGGATGACCAATTGAGCAACCCTCTACGACTATAATCATCATTGGGCTCGATTATTTGTATGTTGGGCAACCCTGTAGGACCACAATTATCATTGTGCTTGATTTTTTCTTCTTTCAAATCGCTTGAGCCATTGGACAACCCTCTAGGACTACAATTATCATTTTGCTTGATTTTCTCTTCCGTCAGATCCCTTGAGCCGTTGGACAACCCTCTCTGACTATAATCACCAGTGTGCATGATTAAATCCCAGGTTATCATAGGTTTAGGTTCCGAACAGATCCCAAGAAAACTTAAATAAGATGGGTCATAAGAGATATCTACAGCCACAGAACCATCAGAGTTCAACGGAAGAAATACTCTCAAAGCCTGCAATTACATTCAAGTGTGAGTTCCTCAGTTTGTGAAAGCAGAGACTACAATATGAGAAACAACATGAAAATGATGCAAAGCATAGCAAATAGGCGGACTGTCTAATTTGTTTTCAATTTTTCCACTGTTTCTAAGAGTGTTTAATTTGACAAAAAAAAATGTTTTTATTAGAAACAATTTTTTTTCATGTTTTACAAGTAAAACTTTATCAATCTTATTAATTTCTGGTGCTTGGCTGATATACCTTAAAACAAATTCGGGGGGGACTCTCAAAGACAAAAAAAAAAAAAAAAAAACCCAAAAAAAAAAAAAAAAAAAAAAACAAAAAAGACCAAAAAAAAAAAAAAAAAAAAAAAAACCCAAAAAAAAAAAAAAAAAAAAAAAATCGAAGAGAGCTTCCCGAAAACCTCTAAAGTCAGAAAACATTTTATTTCAATTCAAAAGTCTTGTAAATTCAAGGGGCAATTTTTCATAAATACATTTTTACCTACGTATGTTCCATTTAGTTCATATTATTTTCTTATATTCTAACAAGGCATATGACTAACATAGTTACCCAAATACCCCTAATAATATTCACATTTACAGTGTGAATATTCCGTGATGTGAATGTTCGCACTGTCAATGTGAATGTTCACATCGTCAATGTGAATATTAACATGTCAATGTGAATGTTAACAGTACCAATGTGAACATTCACACGTCAATGCGAATATTCATATTGTAAAATATAAATATTCACATCACCAAATTGTTAACCGTTCAAAAAATATTTGTAAGGATAGAAATGTCCATAAAATACTTCAAATATGAGAATTAGAATTCGGTAAATCAAATGTTCAAATAATAGGACTTATTAAAATATAAGATTATCTTACGAATTTATGGATTAATTGGGATAAAACACTTGAAAAAGGATTTTCTAATAAATCTCCCTAAATTCAATCCTATTAACCCAAAAAAAAAAATAAATAAATAAAAGAGAGAGAGAAGAAAATTCTACTCCACACAACAAAATCATAGTAGCTGTGTCATTGACACATTTTATGGAATACTTGATGGACAAGAAAAATATAAGTCATGCTTGCACCTTCCAATTGTACTGAAGCTGGAGAAAATAAGAACACCACAAACGGCAGCAAACTAATAAAATTTTGAAGGAAATTTTGATGAAAGAGGGAATCGATGCATAGGGTCCGGTGAGTGTGTGAGATTAAGTAAGAGATTTGATGAAATGTTCTCAAACAGACCAAGATCCAATTTTGGATTTTGGTGAAAAAAATTTCAAGTCATTTCTGTGCAGAACAGAGAGAGTATTCATTGAGTAAGTGAGTGTATTCGTTGATTTTCTGGCGAAAATGGCCACCGCAATGGCTTTAGGGGGAGGAAATAAGGGTTGTTGGTCTTTGAATATGCAGATCTCTGAGTAATTATAATAATCAAATTTATTACATCTACTTTGCCGTTCTCCGCAGCAATATGGAGAGCCGTCTTCCCAAACCCGTCCTTCTCAAAACACAATATCCTGTTCTCTATAATCAACTCCTCCATTTCCAAATCCCCCATCTTGCAAGCCAGGAGCAAATTGGCGAATTTATAACTCCATATCAAAAGCCCATTCAATTCCTTTTCGCAATAATTTGCAGGTTCATCGGTTGTTTGTGCGTAGCCATTTTGAGATTTAAACAAGCAAACATGCGTCCAAGAGAAGAGAAATAGTTATCTGGAGAATTTTTTTTTTAAAAAAAATTTAATTTTATATTGTATACGATAATGAATTAAATACCTGGAGTAATTCCAGAATAGTTATTCCTCTATAACCTTTGGAAGCAAATACCTGGAGTAATTCCAGAACAGTTATTCCTCTATAATCTTTGAAAGCAAATACATGGAGTAAGTCGGGCCTTTCTCCAGTGACCAAATCATTGATTTACCTTCCGATTGAAGCCGGATCTTCAACGATCGATTCGGATTGAAGCTGAGATCAGTGGCTGAGATCTTAATCGACTCGGATTAAAGTTACAATAGGTAAGATCGATTGAAGCTGAGATCAGTACAAAGATTGATTCGGATTAAAGTGAAGATTGATTCTGATATAAGGTGGCACAAAGATTGATTCGGATTGAAGCTAAAGATCGATTGAAGTTGAAGATCGATTGAGTCCTAGACAGAAGAAATAGTTGAGATCGAGAGTCCTAGTGAAGATCGATTCTGATATCGCGTATTTGACAACCTTTAGCAACAGAGGAAATAGCTAAGATTGATTGAGTCCTAGTGAAGATCAATTCTATATCGCGTATTTGACAACCTTTAGCAACCAAATTAATTGGTCTCCAGCTTTTACCCACCTCATAGACGCGCGGGTGTGAGGGAAGTGTCGAAATGAACGTACGTGTTAACTTTTGGGTTCCTAATGTTGTGTTTGGTTGGGGGATTTGGAGAGGGATTTGAAAAGAGAAAGAGAAAAGGTGTGTGAAATTATGTGAAATATAGACATGCTTTATTTACATTTTACTTAACTTTTTCATTTCTTTTTCCAAATCTCCCAACCAAACACAGTATAAGCGAACATTTCCCAGAGGGTGGAGGAGTAAAAGTAAACCCGACCCGACCTTGTGTTGTAGAGATCCCTAATCTTTTTTATTTATTATAAGGAACATGCCGCGGACCCTCTCTCTCTCTCTCTCGAATCCAGATCCCCTCCTTGAGCCCCTCCTTCATTCCCTCCTTGCAAGGGCCTTGGGGCCTACTTTGAGGCCCAATTTTCATAATTCGAATCATTCATATTTTTAGATTTATTCAGTATATCATATCTGTAAAAAATTAAGTTGATCGGATATCAGAAAATATGCGTTCAGAAAATTGAGACTACAAACTATTTTTTAATAAACAGTTTTCCGAACATATATTTTCTGATATCTGATCAATTTGATTTTTTACAGGTATGATATACTAAATAAATGTAAAAATATGAACGGTTCGGATTATCAAAATTGGGACTCAAAGTGGGCCCGCAGGCCCTGCAAGAAGGGAATGAAGGACCGAAATAAAGGGGAGGATCCCAATTCCTCTCTCTCTCTCACACCACTGTTTCCTGACTGACACAAATTTTATTTATTTTATTTATTTTTTTTCTCCTTTCCAAGTCTCCCTCTCACAACAAGACATGTGAAGCTGTGGGTGCTAGGAATCTCCAACACGATTATTATTATAAACGGAAAAATTAATATAAAAAATTAATTTTTTAAAATGCTTATTTTTCTCTTATTAGAAAAAAACTTCTAAAAAAAATTTGTAAATGAATAAAGAAAATCTATAAGGAATTACAAAAATTTATTTAATATATATATTATTATAGTATTAAACATTTAGGTAATGTTATGGTACACAAGTTTTTGTAATGTTGTTGGCTTTTTTGACTTTCGAAGGTTATTTTTGTAATTGTGAGTGTGTGAGCGTGCTAGCAAGGATCAATCAGTCCTTACAGAATGTTAATTGTCAACCAATTATCAGACGATTGTGTTTTAGTTCTTTCAGCCTTAATGAAGAGGACTTTTATTGGTGGCTTTGTTTAGGAGAATTAAGCAAATAATGATTAAATAAAAAACAGTTGGAGTATTTCATTAAGCAAAATGAAAGACTTACAAGGATCCGAATCAGCCTCGTTGAGGTTTACAGCAACAAACTACTTGAAAACTACTCCTACGAACGAAATGCAGTGCAGAAATTTGAAGTACAGAAATGTAAAGAAAAAGAAATGTAAAAACTGAAAAAGAAATAAAGTAGAATAAAACTAGTTTTATGGATCTGAGTCTGGAGCTTTTCTGGGGCCTTCTCTGCTATTTATACTTCTCAAGGATAACCATTGAACTGCACTTCTAACCATCAAACGGCTCCTTCATGATCGCTGATCATGTTGTCTTATAGTTAGCTCCACTATGCCAATACCTGCAGTTAGGCTTCCCTCTTGATTTTGAATTTAAATATGAGTAACCGTTGAAGTCACATCACTTTGCATCTCTTTGCTGATCTAATACTACGCAAATCTTATGAAAACCAATACTAACTACCACGTGTACGATCACGATCGAAAGTTTGAATTGTCTTCCCGTATTACCCTCAACCTGCCACGTGTTGAACTGTGATTGGCTTTATACAAAATATATAGCCAACATTACCCCCCACACTAATATAACCAATACTTGGTGATATTAGTGGATCAAGGTATTTTCCCACGTCTTAGAATGTGCACGGGCTTTGCATTTTTAGAAACACAACTGTCATTCATTGATGAACATTTGCATTAACTCCTCTTCGATCCCTTAAACAAGCTCACTATCTCAGTATTCGAAAAGTCCAATTCAGTTCTCATGGATAAATAGACATTTCTTATCTCGATCAAGCATATGAAGAGTTGTTTGATAATACCGTTCGTCCTTGAAAGAATCTTCATGCATTGATTAGCCATCTTTACCCACCTTCCTATATTCAAGTCATAGAAGCTTTTGAAAATTATCAACCTTTGGATTACGAACACACTGTCCACAATCTTTTGATTCAGAAATTTGCAAATATGGACATGGGAAGTTCTTCCTCTGACCCAAAGCCTTCTAGATGGGATGGAGCTACAAATTCTTCCTCTTCTGGGGCTTCTGGTTGGGGAAGCTGGCCGGAATTAAAAGAGCGAGTCAACCATCATTTTGTCGAGTTCATTGACCCTCTAGAATTCCCTTCCGATGCTCGGAGTTCGGTGGTTTATCCCTACGTGCCCATCGACCGCCGACGTTGTTTGGAAGGCAACCTACTCGTAGCGTGGTACACATCTTCCACGCCTACGAAAATAGTATATGCCACTCCTCCCCCGGAAGAGGCACAAGGGTATAACCCTGCATTCTTGGCTCAGAAGGCTAAACTTTGCTCTTCTGACTAGCTTGACATCGTCAATAGCCCCCGATTTCCTCTTACTTTCGAGATGGAAACTCCTGCACCTCTTCTTCCACATGACCCTCACTGGATGGAGAAATTGAGGCATACTCTCTCTGAGGACCAATTTCTCCCTTCCTATCACCCTCCATCTCCTCCTACTAAAGATCAACGAAAGCAAGCCCAACTTCTGCTTGCGGCCTTTTCCCATTTGCCCTTCAATGTTCTTGAGGACAATGTTCCTCTCAAGAACTTTCGATAGGCTTGTGACATTATGATCCGGGGTCATATTCTCAACCCCATCGCCCAAGTAGAACTTCAAATGTTCTTGGACCAACTCTCCCTACTCCTTCATTGGCATCACAATTCTGTCGCCACTGCTCAGTTCTTGGACCAAATCTCAGCCAATCGAGTTCATACCGGTATCAAGCGGAGAACCTCATTGATGAATACGATGATTTCAAGAATAAAGATTCTGAATACTGGGATGACCTAGATATGGACGAGATAGAACGAGGGCTAAAAGAGACAGAGTTTGAAATAAAAGCTGAAAAACTTTTTTACCAAGTAAGAGCATATCAACTTCAGTATCCTAGCCTGGAGCAGATAGAAGACAGATTAAAGAAAGAACAGAAGCTAATTGACCATAGCTAGAACAAGTTCCATGATCTTGTTATTTATTCTATTCCTTACTTTTATGAACTTGAATATGTGCCTAGGCAGGACTTCTGATATAATCATACTTATCTTAATAAAACGGAAAGATTTCTTTTACTTGGTATGGTTTAATTTTACTCCACTTATCCGGGACCAATCAGAATTATGGCTTCGAATTCACCAATTTTCTCTTTGAAACTTGACAATCAAAGAAATATTTGAGCGTGCTAGCAAGGATCAATCAGTCCTTACAGAATGTTAATTGTCAACCAATTATCAGACGATTGTGTTTTAGTTCTTTCAGCCTTAATGAAGAGGACTTTTATTGGTGGCTTTGTTTAGGAGAATTAAGCAAATAATGATTAAATAAAAAACAGTTGTAGTATTTCATTAAGCAAAATGAAAGACTTACAAAGATCCGAATCAGCCTCGTTGAGGTTTACAGCAACAAACTACTTGAAAACTACTCCTACGAACGAAATGCAGTGCAGAAATTTGAAGTACAGAAATGTAAAGAACAAGAAATGTAAAAACTGAAAAAGAAATAAAGTAGAATAAAACTAGTTTTATGGATCTGAGTCTGGGGCTTTTTCTGGGGCCTTCTCTGCTATTTATACTTCTCAAGAATAACCATCGAACTGCACTTCTAACCGTCAAACCGCTCCCTCATGATCGCTGATCATGTTGTCTTATAGTTAGCTCCACTATGCCAATACCTACAGTTAGGATTCCCTCATGATTTTGAATTTAAATATGAGTAACCGTTGAAATCACATCACTTTGCATCTCTTTGCTGATCTAATACTACGCAAATCTTATGAAAACCAATACTAACTACCATGTGTACGATCACGATCGACGGTTTGAATTGTCTTCCCGTATTACCCTCAACCTACCACCTGTTGAACTGTGATTGGCTTTATACAAAATATATAACCAACATTACCCCCCACACTAATATAACCAATACTTGGTGATACTAGTGGATCAAGGTATTTTCCCACGTCTTAGAATGTGCATGGGCTTTGCATTTTTAGAAACACAACCGTCATTCATTGATGACCATTTGCATTAACTCCTCTTCGATCCCTTAAACAAGCTCACTATCTCAGTATTCGAAAAGTCCAATTCAGTTCTCATGGATAAACAAACATTTTCTTATCTCGACCAAGCATATGAAGAGTTGTTTGATAATACCGTTCGTCCTCGAAAAAATCTTCATGCATTGATTAGCCACCTTTACCCACCGTCCCATATTCAAGTCATAGAAGCTTTTGAAAATTATCTACCTTTAGATTACGAACACACTGTCCACAATCCTTTAATTCAGAAA